TCAGGAGGCCCCCAAGAGGCCCACAAGCGGCCCCAGGCATCCCAAATGCCCCCCCAAGCACGCAAGCAAGTGCCAGCGATGCTACAATATGGGCCGGCGGAGTGAGCGAAGCGATTGAATAAAAGGCTCTGGTGGTGCTCTGGGGCCAGGGGGGGCCTGGGCTCGAGCCACGGGGGGCGGGGGCAGGGCCAGGGACGAACTACCACGAACGAACGAACCACGACGAAAACAAAGAGCTCCAGGGCGAATGGGGCTGGTGCTCCGGGGCGGATGCTCCGGGGCCAGGGGGCCTGGGGCCTCGACCCAGGGCTCGAGCCAGGGGGGGGTCGATGTTCGCGTCCACGTGGCCAAAAACCTTCGCACATTACGCCGTATTCGTACTGCCGAGACCAAGCATGCTCCAAGGCGCCCGAAGATGGTTCCAAGACGGCCCAAGAGGACCCCAAGAGGCCCAAGAGCGCAGGTTGGTCGGGATCTTCCAAGAGACCAGCTGCCAACACGGCAAGAGATTGCTGCAAACATTAGGGGACGAGTGTTTACTTTATGGGATGCGGCCTCAGCCGCAGGGGTGGTCACAATTAACATCACCTCAGGCTTTCCCGCTGAAAGCTCTATAACCATTTGGGGAATGAAGTGTTGCTCAAAATTGGCCTGGCTTTGAGAAAATACTCGATAGCCATAAACCTTCGTCAAGAAGTTCGGACTTAAATCCGTGAGTGGTTTTGCTCAAGCGACGCACGGGAACCATAGTTGGCGATGGCAATTCTAGGGGCTGAGTAAGGCGCCGAAGTTGTACATAGTAGCGCTGCAAGATTTAAACTAGTATTCAAAGTGTTCAAAACATATCATTGTAGGATTCGATTACACAGGAACCCTTCAAATACATCAAAGGTTCTTCAGTACCAATGAGCAGCGCCGGCGGAAACTTAAACACCAAGCTTAAACCTCAATGAAATTAATTTGTCTTCGCAGCAAAATTGTATATCTAAGCCAGCTCAAGGGTTCTCTTCGTCTTTGAATTGTGGAAAAACCTTTTGTTATTTTCCCAAACATTCATGTGGTGTTGGGTCCTCGTTTTGAACAGGCGGTGCCCCGTGTTCTCCTCTTCTCCTCTTTGCCCTCCTCCTCCTCACCCTCCTCCCTCCTCCCATCATCATCAACATCAGCATCAACATCCTCCTCATCATCATCATCAGCATCACCCGCTTCGCACACCCAGTACAGCGCTTCGTGGCCCCATAGGGATCCCCACCGAAGGTCCCAGTGGGACCGCTTCAAGCGTCCCGCACACCCAATACAGCGTATCGGACCGCCCGCATGCGTCCCGCACACCCACTACAACGTTTCGTGGCCCCATAGGAGCCCTACCGAAAGTCCCAGTGGGACCGCCCGCATGCGCCCCGCACACCCGGTACAGCATTTCGAGGCCCCGTAGGGGGCCTCACAGAAGGTCCCAGTGGGACCGCCCGCATGCGTCCTGCACACCCAGTACAACGTTTCGTGGCCCCATAGGGAGCCCCACCGGAGGTCCCACTGGGACCGCCCGCATGCGTCCCGCACGCCCACTACAGCGTTTCGTGGCCCCACAAGGAGCCCCACCGAAAGTCCGAATGGGACCGCCCACGGGGCCCGCATGCGCCCCACACGCCCAGTACAGCGCTTCGCGGCCCCATAGGGGGCCCCACAGAAGGTCTCAGTGGGACCGCCCGCGTGCGTCCTGCACACCCAGTGCAGCGCTTCGTAGCCCCTGTGCCGCCGAGATTAATGCCACAGGGATAAGAAAGTTCGGGGTTGCGGGGGGATTATAAATGTTGCCTACCGGAGGCCAGCATGTGGGAGGAGAAAGAGATGATGTTAAGAGGACCGAAAGCCGAGGATCGAGGATCGAAGTCCGAGGATCGAGGATCGAGATCCCGAAGTCGAGGATCGAGGTCCGAGGATCGACGGCGGCGAGGTCCGAGGATCGAGGATAGAGGTCCGAGGGTCGAAGATCGAGGCCCGAGGATCGAGGTCCAGGATGCCTGGGGGAGAAGGAGGAAGACAGAGAGAGAGAGAGACAGAGACAGAAAGATACATATAGTTAGACAGAGAAAGAGAGAGAGAGAGAGAGAGAGAGAAAGCCAGAGAGAGAGAGAGAGAAACAACAAGTAAATCAATATATACAGACAGAAGGAGAGAGGAGGAGGAGGAGGAGGAGGAGGAGGAGGAGGAGGAGGAGGAGGAGGACACCCCAAACCTATTAAATCTAATGTGTAAACGAACAATGGAAATTAAGATGTTCATCTGCTCGTGTAGGGTAGATCACGTGCCTCGGTGTTCGTGGATAGTAAACCACAGCGATAAAAGAGTTCAGGATGCCAGGGGGAGAAGGAGGAAGACAGATAGAGACATATACAGAAATATACATATAGTTCGACAGAGAGAGAGGGAAGTAGAGAAATATAGACAGACAGAAGGAGAGAGAAAGGAGGAGGAGGAGGAGGAGAAAAGCCAAAGTTCCAAACCTATTAAAATCAATTTATAAACGAACAATGGAAATTAAGATGTTGATCTGCTTGTGTAGGGTGCCTCATGTGCCTCGGTTTCCGTGGATAGTACACCACAGCGATAAAACAACAAAAAGTTCAGGGGGGCCAGGGGGAGAAGGAGAAAGACAGAGAGAGAGAGAGAGAAAGAGAGAGAGAGAGAGACAGAGACAAAGAGAGAGAGAGAGAAAGAGAGAGAGAGAGAGAAAACAACAAAAAGAAAGCGAGGGAGGAAGAGGAGGAGGAGGAGGAGGAAGTCTCTCAGCGACAAGTCTCTCGCTTCGCTTGAGACATCCTCGAAGAATTCTTGGTTCCGCTTGAGACATCCTTGAAACATTGATCGTTTCGCTTGAGGCTGCCTCCAAAAATTGCTGGCTTCGCTTGAGACATCATCGAAAACGCCTTCGCTTCGCTTGATGTTGCTATCTCAACATAACAAAAAGTTCACCTCGATGGTGAACTTTCCACAATGATAAACAAGTTCGGCCTCCGCGCCCCGTGCCCCTGACCAAACTCTTATTGGCCGTGGATAATCAACTCTAGCGTGTTAAGGGGGGTCCTTTTTTATCAGCGGTACAGGGTTAGGGAGCCCCACCGAAGGTCCCAGTGGGACCGTCCGCATGCGTCCCGAATACCAGATTTGGGAGTTGTGCCCACGCAGTACAGCGCTTCGTGGCCCCAGTGGGAGCTACAGAAACCCTCAGCATGAGTCCAGAAAACCAGATTTTGCATTTTCGCCCACACAGTAAAGCGCGTCGTGGCCCCATAAGGAGCTCCGCCCAAGGCCCCAGTGGGACCGTCCGCATGGGTCCCGACAAGTCTTTGTTGGCATTTTTCACCCACCCACTACAATGTTTCGTGGCCACATAAGGAACTCCATCAAATCCCCCAGTGGAACCGTCCGCATGCGCCCCGAACCACAATTGTGCATGTGCACCCACCCGATGCCACCGTCAGCTTGCGTCCCGAGAACCCGACTCGGCACTTTCACCCACCCAGTACAGCGCTCCGTGGCCCCACAGGGAGCTCCACCGAAGCCCCCAGTGGGACCGCCCGCATGCGCTCCACACGCCCGATTTCGCATTTTTCCACCCACCCAGTACAGCGCTTCGTGGCCCCATAGGGAGCTCCACCGAAGCCCCCCAGAGGGACCGCCCGCATACGTCTCACACACCTAAGTTGGCATGTTCACCCGCCCAGTACAGCGTTCCGTGGCCCCACAGGGAGCTCCACCGAAGCCCCCAGTGGGACCGCCCGCATGCGTCCCGAAAACCCACTTTGGCAGTTGTTTCACCCACCCAGTACAGCGCTTCGTGGCCCTATGGGGAGCTCCACCGAAGCCCCCAGTAGGACCGCCCGCATGCGTCACACACACACACATACACACACATTGACATTTCTTCACCCACCCAGTACAATATTTCGTGGCCCCATATGGAGCCCCACCGAAGTCCTCAGTGGGACCGCCCGCATGCGTCCCGCACACCCAGTACAGCGCTTCCTGGCCCCATAGGGAGCTTCACTGAAGAAGATATTCACAACTGCGGTACCCACAACTGCACATGGTTGGGTCCTTCGCCAAGGTAATTGTTTCAAACATTATTACACAGGCAACTTGTCGAAAAGACCTTCGGTATTAGAGACTCTGCCTTGAAAGAAGTTATGCAAGTAGTCGGTAACCTATTACAAATCACACACAGCTAAATCATCATCCCCCACCTCTTATTCAGCTTGTTTCCTTGTTCTATGTCTTGCAGCAGAGCCCTAACCTGAAAATCATAATTATATTTCGTGCGCTAGCCGTTTGCGAGCCAACACATTGAGCTGGTCAATTTTAAGGACAAGTTATGTGATGGGACAAAGACCCCCGCCTTTGATTTGTTGTTCCAATTTAGGTGGTCGCATGAATACCGATGCCATTCATAACTTAGCAGGCGTGGGCTGGGGATTTGGCTCTGGCACATGTGGAAACTTCCCGGCCCAACAGTTGGCCAAGCTCAGGAAAGTGTGCCCTGGCAGAGCCGAGGGACATCGTAACTATTCCAACATGAATATTGGTCTGGAGTGTGGCGTAAAATTTACAGTGAAGCTGATCAGGCCAAACGTGCGGCAAGATCGATGTGAGCCCTGCTCGTAACCCACAAAGCCGCAATATCCTTAACTCCGTAACTCCCTCACTCCCACCCCCTCCCCCTTCCCCCGATGGAAACGGGAACCTCGGGGGCTTTCCCCAGGGCCAACTTTCCATCCTGAGTCGTTCTTTGACGGCCCTGGGGCCCGGGGAGGGCCTCGGGAGCCCGAAAACGGAAAAGAACACGCTCAGGAACCGTCTCCCGCGGACCTCATTCGGTTCTTGTCGATCCTCCGTCCTTTCTCCTCCTCTGTCCCTCCCTCCCTCCTTCCCTCCTCGTTTTCTAGCCCAGCGGAGGGGCAGAGGGCCAGCAGCGCGGCCGAAAAGGGGGGTAGGAGGCGAACCAGCACCACGAAGTCGCAGTCGTAGGGCACCTCCGCCTTCTCGAAGACGAGGAGGGCCATCACTATCACGCTGGTGAGCTCCTTGCGAGGGGCTCCGCGCAGGTAATCGGCTGCAGGATGGCGATCAAAAGAAAAACACCAGGGGAAAGAATTCAGAACATCACCGTCTGCCGCTGGGAAGGATCCTGGAGGTGGCGATCAAACAATCTCAACGACGACGACGACGACGACGCCAAGCAGGCCCGAACCTGGCCTCAGGCCCGGCCCTCCGCCACGGGCGACGCGTCTGGGGCACTGACCCCAGAGCCTTCTCTCCCGGCGGGTCGATAACCACCCCCGGACGTCCGACGACGCGTTTTTCCAGCTCGGCCCCCGCGGACCCGACCCCTTCCCCTGGCTGTTTGTTCGCCCAGCGTCTGCTGTTGATAGCCTAGGGCCCAGAAACGGGCCCAGGAGGCCGAATTGAAAATGCTAGGATTGAAGATGCGCACCGTCGACGTCTGAGGCCTCCTCGTCTCAGCCTCGCCCTGCCTCCAGGCGCGCGCGGGGCAGGGGCTCCACGCGGACGTACGAGCTCCGCTGGGGAAGGGAGCCTCCCGCCCCTTCCTCCCCGGCGGCAGAGGGGGGGCGGACGAGAGGAAGGGCGCGAGGACGAGGAGGGGGGGTGGAATGAAGAGGGGGAGTGGGCGGAGAAGGAAGGAGAGTAGGGAGTGGTCGCGCGCACCCGCACGCTGGACGCAACGCCCAGGCGCACGCGCAGATCAGGCAAGACGCCGCGGAAGAGCGTGAGAAAGAAGCCTTGCCGAGCTTGGCAACACCATATGCTGCGCGCTTACTCACGGAAGCACGTCCACGCACCTGCCCTTGCATCGTGTGCGCCGCACACATGAGGATGCAGATGCGTCTGCGCACGTGCTTGTGAATACGCACGTGAAGTGGTGCACGCACGCGTCTGTACATCCACACGCGTGTGTAAATCCTGCTGCGCACACGAAGAAAAGGAGCACACGCCCAGAGGATCACTACGCTCGAAAAACTGAGGCCGAAAACTCGAATGCCGAGACGCCAGACTGATAACATAACCTCTGTGATCCATAATTCGAGCCTGAGGCAAGGCGGTTAGCCTGGTTGCTATCATATCTCGGACCCGGAAACTTCAAATTCTGGACCTGCAGACCCAGTGGAGCATGACAGCTGGTTCGTAGTAGGCGACCCTCGCCCTCCACGAGCCGTCCTGTACCGCCAGGATGCATCCAACTTCGCAACCACTGGAATCGCACCTCATGTCCCTGGGGTGTGGACGTGGATGTTTTCCAGCCCTCCAGTGAGGGCACATACTTATCAGAGCGACGTGGCCGTGCGGCTTTTATATGGTCCCTGGGTACGTTGAGTAGCGTGGGTCCGCGGTGTGGATTGCCGATATTATCGTTCTGGTTGTCATCACCCACAACCCGCCCCACGACCCGCCGGCGACTACACGGGACCCTTCCGCGACCCACCAGCGACCCGCCCGCACTGCTTTGACGAAACATCTGCGCCTGCGCTGGGCTTTTTGTGTCATGTAAAACATCGGTTTTCTCATTAGGTGTTCTAATTGTTGAGTTTGTTTTTCAAATTTGCTCCCGAATCACGCAGACTGCCCACACTCCCCGCCCTCTCACTCTTATCCGCAACTGCGGGGGCTGTTGTATCCACACTCCTCGAGGTCCCAGGGCACGACTCCGAAGCAGCGGATATGGGTACCGTCTGGAGAATGCAAATCTACCCTGTCTACATGCCCCCCACCAATGAGAGACTGCAACAACTTCTCCGCGTACTGGTTGGGCGAGCCCATCCTACGGAGGGCTCGACGAGACGGAAGACGCGGGACGGGCAAGGAAGGACCATGGAGGGGTGCGGGGTGATTTCCGGGAAAGGGGTGAAGGGGAGAGAGGTGAGGGCACATAGAGGGGGACTGCGTCAAGCTTGGGCTCTGACTGGCCAATGCGAAGCAATTGCTGGTTGACTCGGCGCAGCGGTCAAATGATACCATGTCGACCCTTATCCACCGACTCCGCGTTCTTGGGGTCGCAAAACGCGTGGTACATTTGGATGCTCCCCTTCCCTTGCTTCTCCCCCAGAAGTCAAACTCCCGTTCGAGGCGGGGGGGCGAACGCGGTGAAGTTCCAATCCCACCCCACTCCCGAGATCATCCATCAGAAGACTGATTTGGCCTCGATGACACTTGATGGCCCTCGGATGGCTGAGTACATACCAAGATAGCTATCATTCGCGATGGCATATTATATGCCACGTGGTTGGCATAAGATGGCCTGCAGGAGAGCCCCCAGGGGCCTCAGGCTGATCCCAAGATACCTCCAGGCTGGCCAGAGCCTCCTACTGAGTGAGGCACCCGAGAAGGCAAGCCAGTGAAAACACAATGTGTGTACTCAGTGGGCCCTAACCCCGCCAGCCTCAAGCCGATCCCCGCAGGCCTTCCGCCGCTCCAATGGGTACACAATTGGGGGCCAAGATTGGTCGTGTGAACCACCCGCAACGGTCGCCCCGACCTTCTCCTTCTACGTCCTAACGTCTCCCACCGGGTCCGCTCGTGCCAATGCGTCCAGAGCGTCGGCGGCTGCGGTCGGCAGTCGCCACGAGATTGTTTTTATTCCCCCCCGTAACGTCCGTTGATCGGCTACACGTGCGAGTGACCCTTCGTAGGAGTGACCTTTGGGCCTTTGGGGTTGAGCTCGACCTCGCGTCGGCGCCCGCAGCTTGGGGTTGCGCTGGCATCTGAGCGCGCATGGGCCCTCGCAATCGACCGCAACATATAGTTTTTTGTGGTCGGCGGCCGCGCGACGACGGTCTGGCCCAGCGGCGAGAGGCGATGTCCGGGGCAGGCGACACAAAGCTAATTGCACAACAAGCGTGCAGGTGCACATGCACTGAACAAAATGCTCAGCATTCACCTGCAGACGCACATAGGCGCCGCCCAGTAAACCAATGTGTACCAGCGGCCACGGGTGCGAGTGCGACGGAGTGAGTCGCCCTTGGACCGCAACGTATACGCGGGGCATCCTAGAGCGCGCGTTGGTTTCTCGAGGGGGGGGCCTGTCGACCAGGCGGCGCGTTTTCCGCCCCAAGAACGATCCCAAGCCCAACCCAAATTCCAAATCGTCCGACCTGAATGCCTTTGAATATTTAGATATCTGTCCGAACCAGCAATATTCCAACACATTCTGGCCCACCAGGGGGGGCGGTTTTGGCGATGACGTCGGACCTGATCAGACATCATCGCGACGCGGCCACTCAGTGCCAAACCACATCGTGATGGCCCCCGGCAGCGTTTGCGTTCGCAGCGCCTTCGGGGTGCCATTCGGGGCGGTCGACTCGAATTGTCAGGACTCCGCGGTTACCCGCCGGCGCTAATGATCTTTCGAGGCGCGTCCCGCCGGCGCTAATGGGCACCCTCGGGCGCCCCAAAATCCTATCACCAAAGGTCATTCGAGTCTAGGGACACTCCTTACGTGCAGCCGAAGAGTTACGGGGGGGAGGAAGTGGGGGAGAGGTCGGGCCTGAAGCGCCACCGCATGCTCGTGAACACCAAAGCATGCCTGTCAACACCGAAGCATGCCTGCGGGGGAACCGCCCCACCCCAATAACAAACAAAAAAAACTTCACCGAAGAGAAACAAGCAAACTCTCCAGGCCAAGGAATCGACCCGCTTTGCTCACGCGGCCCGCCTGGACGCTCCGTGTCAACAAGCTTTTCTCTCTCCCACCACGCCTATACAGGGCGTTGGCATGGCGCTTTGCAATCCTGCTCACACGCCTGACCCTGCCAGGGGATTCCCACAAGGCCTGGGCCCCTTGTCGTTGTACTCTTTGGCGGCACGGCGCTGTCGGCTTGGTCGACCAAGCGATGCACTTCCAGGGACCATGCTCGCCTGGGTGCAAGGCGGGTGCCAGGTTGCAACACTGCCTCGCACTCTCTCGCCTGCTGGGCGTGTCGTTGCTGGCTGCGGGCTGGTTGCCGCCACCAGTCCCTGCTCTTTCTTGTGCCCCCTTGGTCTTCGCCAGGCTCTGGCGGGACTTTGTCGGCTGGCCCTCCCCCTCGAGACCCCATCGCACCTGTCCGCCACCTCCTCCGCTCGCGCGTCTCGGTCCTCCCCCTGCATGCCTTCGGGCTTCGCCCGCGCCATCGGCTGAGCTGGGTGCTGTTTGCACGCCGACTCGCCACTGTGCAACCCCCCCGCCTGCCACGTCTGATGGCATGTCACGTTTGACCGCGTCGGGCTGTTGCACTCGGGATGGTGCGGCCAACTTGCCTGAGGATGAGCCAATGTATTAACTGGCTGCGTATTCTAGGCAACGCCATCAATGGCAGGATGGTTTCAAGTGGTGGTATGATTTGTCAAATTCTGGAAAGCCTCTACATTGTGCGCCTCAAGATGGCCGCAAGGCGTCCAAAAAAACATATCAAAGGGAGCCCACGAGGGCGTCGCCCCGAGGATTCGGGTCTCCCCTTCCGCCTCCTCCTCCTCCTCCTCTCCTCCTCCTCTTCCTTTCCTCCTCCTCCTCTTCCCCATCAACATCATCCTCTCCATCCTCCTCGTCCTTCTCCCCCCTATCCTCGCCACAAATATCTATCATTCCTTATGCAAACATGCCAATCAACACCCGTGAATCCAATATTCAAGGTTATCGGTGGGATGGCTTCTAGGGTGGAGAACAAGGGGGAAACAGAGAAAAACACAACAGTATGAGGATCGTAAAACGAACAAGCAGAAAGGGGGGAGAGAAGGCGGGGAGGCGAAACGAGGCGGGGATGGAAAGGGGAACTATGACATATGGGAAGCGGGCGACAGAAGGTGTGGGTGATGTGGTGTGGAACGGGCGAGGAACAGCAGAGCGACAGACAAGGTACGAAGGAGAAAAGCACAGAGAAATGCGACACCTTCGACAAGACGTGGGCGGAAACTGGGGAATGGAAGCGGCTTATAGGAGAAGGACGCCATCGTGGACCCCAAACTATGTATTTATAGCAGTATGTGATGTGCAACGTATGGCGCGCACTGTGCAGTGTGCCGCGTGGTGTGATCTGTGGTGCTATCAGTGTGGTGCACTATAAATTGTCCCATATATGGTGTGCAAACCCATGATCTGCAATATGCGTGGTGCAATCTACGAAGTACAACCACTGTGTTACAACCCGACCAGTGCAACTTTTTGTGGTGCAACCTGCGTGGAGCAACCCATATGGTACAATTCACCCTGCCGAATTTGACGTCGTCAACTCCATTGCCCGCGCAACCATCCCACCCACTTTCCCGCGACTTGGATTGCAAAACCCATGCGGCGGCAATTGTCGGCGCTGGCTGTCGCAGCGCTGCGGCCGGCCTAGCGCGAACAAGCTCGCGCGCATGATGGCCATTTAATCTGGCGCGATCGGCACGGCCGCGGTGGCGTTGACCGCTGGGGGCCCCCAGCGAGTCTCGCAGGCTGCGCTGGCGCGCGGGCACCTCACTGTGAGTCGGTGACCTTAACGGGCGCGGAATCATGGTGATGCCGACCGGCAACGGCAAACATGATGATAACGATATTGGTGGCGACGATAACGATGATGGTGTCCACGCGTCGGTGATTAAGGTCCTGAGAGGATTTCGCCACGCGCACGCGGCCGACGCAGGCGAATGGCCCGCATGGTACTATTTGACAGTGACCGCGCCCCCTGCAAGCGCGCACAATCGCTCGACTGATTTCGACACGCGCGCGCGAGAGGCCTGGGTGGTCTCATTGGATGATTGAAAAAAACCTATGTTTCCAATACGAATTCGCAAACACGCGCCCATTTGGTTTGAAAGCCTGCATTGCAAACCCATTGTTTTTAAGTTAGTAGGGACGTCGCGATTGACATCCGTACGCCACCTAAGGCTTTGAACTATTCCAGCATGCGAGCGCGACAAAGCGCGCGTCTCGACTTCGTCCCCTGTGTTGCTAAGAACTAAGAGCTGTTGGACACGTATGAGTTTTTATGGCCGGGTGCGCGCGCATCGTGAAATTGGACAAGAATGGGCAATGGGCCGATCACGGCCCCCCCTAGGTGCGGTATGGTATGTAAATGAGAACATCTCAGGGGGTGGCGCGAATTCCTGGGGACGGGGTGGTCGTATGCCAGGACCTCTTAGGAAGGGAAATATATGGCTCAAGCTACGTGGTACAGTATGTCTATATGGCGAATTCTATGTGGTGCAACTAAGTATCCTTGCAGAGCCTGAAGCTGTCAACTCCACTGCTCGCGCGACCACCCCACACACACACCCGCGGTGGCGATTGAGACGACTGCTTGGCGCTGGCTGGCGCATCGATGATGCCGCCAAACGCGCGCAGGCTCGCGCGCAGAGCACGGACGCGGCCGCGGTGGCGCTGACCGCCAAGGACTTCCCAACGCGTCTCGAAGCCGCGCTGACGCGCGGGCACTTCACTGCGAGCCGGTGAATCGGGCGGGCTCGGCACACGATGGAGATAGTAGCGATGATGGTGACGATGACAAGGATGGCGACGGCAAGGCCACTGACGGCACCGACGGTAGCCACGCTCGATAACGATGATGTTGTCAACGTTCCGGCGATGAAGGTGTTGGAAAGATTTCGACATGCGCGCGCGGCCGACGCGGGCGAGCGGCCCTCATGGTATGCTTTCGTGGTTCCGACGCGCGCGCGAAAGGCCGGCGTGATCCAACTTGATGCCAGACTTCGCAAGCGCGCGCCCGCGCGCATATATCTTTTCCACAGCTCATGCTGAAACAACGCTGCTTGTTTTATGTGTGTTCGGGAGCTCTGGTCTTAACCTAAGCTGTTTGAAGAATTCCAGTATGCCCACGAAGACGCCGCACGCGTTGATTTTTGGGCGAAGCATGATTGAACACCTGTGATTTGCAAAGACGAATGTGCGCGCATACTATCATGTGACAACGGTGAGGGAGAGTGTCAATACTGGCGTGGCTGGGATGGTACGGCCCACATTCAAAATCCCACCAGCCCTTTGGGCGTGAGTGGTTTAGCGAGCTCTCTCTGTCCTCAACCCCCCTTCTTCCCCTTGGGGAGGGGTTTACCCCTCCCCCTACCCCCTCCCCCTGGGCCTGGAGAGGGGGTCCGGCAGGTCGTCAGGGGGGTCAATTTCGACTCCTGGGAAGGCTAGAAAACGACGACCCTCACGAGGATTCTGGCCCCGACGGGGGGACGGAGATAAGTCCCTCTCCTCTTCTGTGAAGCCAAAAACATTGATTTTACTGTGGTGTTGGCCCCATTTTGGACTTCTGAGGGGGCAGCGCTCATCGTCCTTCATAGCAAAATCATTGATTTTACGAAGGTTTGGGCCTCACGTTGTCCTTCTCAGGGGGTAGCTCTTCTTTGCGCTTCTGAGGAGGTCGCAAGAGGCCCCAAGATGGCCCCAAGAGGCCCCCAGGAGGCTCCCAAGAGGCCTCCAAGAGACCCCCCAGAGGCCCCCAAGCGGCCCCAAGAGGCCCCCAAGAGGCCCCCAAGAGGCCCCCAAGAGGCCCCAAGAGGCCCCAAGAGGCCCCCAAGAGGCCCCCAAGAGGCCCCCAAGAGGCCCCCAAGAGGCCCCAAGAGGCTCCAAGAGGCCCCCAAGAGGCCCCACGAGGAGCCCGAACGACTCACACCAGGACGAGGGGCCCGAACGACTCACACCACGAAGAGTCCGAACGACTCACACCACAAGGAGGGGCCCGAACGACTCACACCAGGACGAGGCACCCGAACGACTCACACCACGAGGAGCCCGAACGACTCACACCACGACGCGGGCCCCGAACGACTCACACTACTACTACTTCTACCTCTACAATCCCACCAGCCCTTTGGGCGTGAGTGGTTTAGGGGGCTCTCTCTGTTCTCAACCCCCCTTCTTCCCCTTCGGGGAGGGGTTTACCCCTCCCCCTACCCCCTCCCCCTGGACCTGGAGAGGTCCTTTCGCGGGTGGCCGGAGGGGTCTTTTTCGACTCCTGGGAGGGCTAATTATCCCGGCAAAGCAACCTAACAGCGATGTGTAGGAGCATATCTGGAAGCATTCCCCTTAAGATTCAGATGAGAATCCAGTTGTAGAATTGTGCTGTTCTCGCAGTCGTAGTCGCATTCGCGATGACAGTCGCAGTGGCAACGGCAGTCACAGACACAGCCTCAGCCTCAGCCTGCCTCAGCCTGCCTCAGCCTCAGCCTGCCTCAGCATTCAAAATGTGGCCCGCTGGGAACTCGAAGAACACGAAGTGGCCTAATGTTGGCTCTCGAAGGCGAAGTGGCCTACAGTTGGAGTTACAGTTGGAAAAATCATGCCCAGGAATGGAGTTCTGGGAACTCGAAGACCACGAAGTGGCCTACAGTTGGCTCCGGGCATCCAAAATGTGGCCCGGGAATGGAGTTCTGGGAACTCGAAGACCACGAAGTGGCCTACAGTTGGCTCCGGGCATCCAAAATGTGGCCCGGGAATGGAGTTCTGGGAACTCGAAGACCACGAAGTGGCCTACAGTTGGCTCCGGGCATCCAAAATGTGGCCCGGGAATGGAGTTCTGGGAAGTCGAAGAGCACGAAGTGGCCTACAGTTGGCTCCGGGCATTCAGAATGTGGATCGGGAATGGAGTTCTGGGAGGTCGAAGAGCACGAAGTGTGTGACTGCATGCGAAAAACGATCCCGGCCGGCAAACCCCAACTCGTCCCCAACGGCTGCCCAGACCCCCCTGTAGAGTAATGTGCTGCTCTCTTTTTAGCCCATTAGAAACCTATCAGTCTTCGCTGTTAGGTAAAAAACGACGACCCTCACGAGGATTCTGGCCCCGACGGGGGGAGGCAGAAAAAAAACCCTCTCCTCTTCTTTGAAGCCAAAAACATTGATTTTACTAAGGTTTTGGCCCCATTTTGGCCTTCCGAGGGGGCAGCGCTCCTTAAAGCTCACCTCTTCTTTCAAGACAAAACCATTGATTTTACTAAGGTTTTGGCATCATTTTGCCCTTTTGAGGGGGCAGCGCTCATTAAAGCTCCCCTCTTCTGTGATCGATTCCCTCCCAGATGGCCCCAAGAAGCGCCCAGGAGGCACCAAGAGGCCCCAAGATGGCCCCAAGAGGTCCCCAGGAGGCCCCCCAGAGGCCTCCAAGAGGCCCCCAAGATGCCCCCAAGAGGCCCCCAAGAGGCCCCAAGAGGCTCCCCCGAGGCACCCAAGACGCTCCTGGAAGCCCCTGGGGCCGCGAAGAGGCCCCCAAGACGCCCCAAACGGCCTCCAAGAGGCTCCCCAGAGGCCCGACGAGGCTCCCCCAAGGCACCCAAGACGCTCCTAGAAGCCCCTGGGGCCGCCAAGAGGCCCCCAAGACGCCCCAAAGGGGGACGAGGTGCCCGAACGCCTCACGCCACGAGGAGCCCGAACGACTCACACCAGGACGAGGGGCCCGAACGACTCACACCACGAAGAGCCCGAACGACTCACACCAGAAGGAGGGGCCCGAACGACTCACACCAGGACGAGGCGCCCGAACGACTCACACCACGAGGAGCCCGAACGACTCACACCACGACGAGGGCCCCGAACGACTCACACCACGAGGAGCCCGAACGAGTCACACCAGGAGGAGGGGCCCGAACGACTCACACCAGGACGAGGGGCCCGAACAACTCACACCACGAGAAGCCCGAACGACTCACACCAGGACGAAGAGCCCGAACGACTCACACCACGAAGAGCCCGAACGACTCACACCAGGAAGAAGGGCCCGAACGACTCACACCAGGACGAGAAACCCCAAACGACTCAAACCACGAGGAGCGCTTTCTCTCCCTCCTCCTCCGCCTCGTCCTTCTCCCGCTCCCACCACAAGGAGGATGTACAAGGAGGCGGGAGGAAGGAGGAACAGGGGAGATATGCGGGGGCAGGCGGAAACACGCCTGAAAAACACGACTGTCGGCATGCTTCGCAAGAGTTGCTGTTTGAGATGGGCTGGTGGGGATACGCGAAGCGTAAAGAATTAAACGACGGAAAACAATCGTATGTACATTGTAATATTCCAGGAGTGCCGATAATTCCTGGGGGATGTATCCGAATTTCGCTGCACAAGAAGATAGCACATGTGATGCAATATATGTAGTGCAGTCTATGTTGTGAGACTGGGATATACATGGTGCAATCTACGTGGTGCAGTCTTGGTGGCGACGGGTCGGCGACGGCGACGGGGTGGCGACGGCGACAACATAGCCGCCAAACCGACCATCAGGCCAATACGACGAGCGGCGACGAGGCGGCGACGTGGCGGCGACGGCGACAGCATACCCGCCAAACCGACAGCCAGGCCAAGTCGACAGGCGGCGACGAAGCGGCGACGTGGCGGCGACGGCGAACGGATGACTGCCAGACTGACAACCAGGGCCAATTCCTTAGAATAGAAATTAAAAAACACCTAAGTGCAAGCACTGTTTGAGGAAAAAGAAGCAGGGGGGTACCGACGCTGGGGCGGGGAGATGATGCGCGGGGGGAAGAAAATAACAAATGGAGGGTGGTATTCCTGGGATGGTTTCCACAGGCTGTTGCCTCGTCCCGCTCCACTTGTCATTCATTAAACCGTACCTCCCGAAGCAAAGTTGCGCATCCAATGTGTTCTAGAGGACGTCGAGATTGCCCCACACCCGAGGTCATGAACAAATCACGACGGGAGTCCTCGATCCCATATTTTCTCCTGCACTTCGGGAACCAAGTCGACCAGCAAAAGCCCCAAAACTGCAGAGGCCCGATGCGGGGCGGAACCACCCGCGAGATTTGTCATAACGCACGAATGTCGTGCATGGAAAATCGCCCGGGCGTAACGGGCCAAGATTTTCTCCCGAGTTCTAGATTGGCACGGCCTTCGGGCCGATCGGGAGTAGCGTAGCGTACACACGGATGTCAGGGCTTGGACGTGGCAATACGAAACCGGCACAACCAACACCGCGGCCTTGCGACGGCGCTGAAGATCTTCCACAAAATCTTCATCGTGGTCTGGCGGATGACCTGGAAGCCCCGCTGGGCCGTCAATGGGCAGCTCCGCCCGCACAGAAAGAAGGGAGGCATAAGAGGATTAGGGAGAAAGGGGGCTAACTTATGAATAGAATTGAGAATACACGAGTCGTCTCTCGAAGCGCTGCGCGCCGTGCCACAAATCTTTTGAAGTCTGTGCTACTTGGCGACAGAAACGGAGGGAGCAAAGGAAACTCAAGCTGACTACGACGAACGCGCAGGCAGGAGGCCAGGGTCGGCGGGGCGAGGCGGCCAGGCAGGCGGCAGTGGACAGAGGGAAGAAAGCAATCAGGGAACGTGGGCGGGGGAGAGGGGGGGGGGGAAATGGAGGGGCAGGCAGGCGAGCCCGGGCGGCAAGGGTCGGGACAAAAAAACAACAGTTCTACGACGAGACTTTGGATCCTATATGCCGGCGACAACAACCAAGCGGCACCGACGGAATGCGGCGGCAGGTGGTTGAAGTCAGGGCGTACGTGGGGAAAAGGGCGTGCCGCGTTGCGGCCTAGTCGACAGCGGCCCTCTCGGGCGTGCCTTTCGCCCGGCCGGAGCCTGGCCCCGCTCCCACCTGGGTGGGCGGGCGCTGATGCTGCCCTGCAAAGGGGGGGGAGGGGGAACCAGTTCGGCGTCGCCCCCCATGGCGTCAACTTCCCGCTTAGCCAGGACCCCAAAAACCCTGCGTGCCTCGGGGCCCCACCGACCGACGTGGGCTTGACCGCGCGGGAAAAAAATGTGATGAGTTGGAACAAGCGCGGTAACGGTGGACGTCGCGGCCGCATCGAGTAAATCCCTGCGTGCCCCAGCCGCACCGCGACGACGCACGCAATCCAGCTCCGAGACTCGGGGTTTTGGGGCCTTGCGGATTCCTATCGGGTCCCCCATTCGATGCGTGGGGTTCCCCCCATCGTGGGTGCCATCGGTGGACGTCAGAATAAAAGGGAAGGTGTAAAAAAATCGGTGCTGCAAAAAAACAGCAGCAACAGGAACACATGCAGGAACGTGAGCAAAAACATGGGCAGGCTGCGAATTCGGCTGTAGGAACAAAAATAACGAGGAAACAACAATATAGGCAAGAACATAAAACTAAGGAGGAAGGCAGACACGCGCGGCCTCACCGCCTGTCTTGCGACCGAACGGCACGACGCATCGGTCCTCCCTCTTCCTCCTGCCCCTCCAATTCCAACACTTCCTCCTCTGCCGTATCCTTTTTTCCCCTTCCGAATTCATCACCATCACCGCCATCATCACCATTACACATTTCCTTCTACGCCCCACCATCCTGCTGCTACGTAATCGCCCCTGCCCCACGTCCCCACTTGTCATCCACACCATCTCTCCCATCTCCCTCCTCTTCATTCCGCCTGCTATTCAACCTCCGCCTGTCCCTCCTCATGCTTCCTCCGCGCTTCCCTGCACATGCGATCGAAAAACAATTGTCCCCTCGAGGAAACGAGACTTGAGCCAAACGCCGTCGGCAGGGGCCCAACTGCTCAACCAACGGAATCGTTTAACCCAGTCGCAACGCCATGCATCAACACCTCCTTCGGCCAATTTTGGCCAAATGAAGCGACGAAAAAAATGCGGCAACAAGCAGAGTGGGTAACGGAAAGGTTCTCAACCAATAAACAGCGCATTGAAGCGAGGACTCCGCCCGAGCAAATCCGAATATGGAACTAAAACACATAGGCGCATAAACGGTGCAAGCCGAAGGCGACGATGGTTCGGGCGGAAACGTGCACAGGACTTCGAACACGGGATGCACTAGACTTAGTGCCGCAAAACACAGCGTCATGCATAATGATTCATGATACCGGGGAAAACCCAATCAGGGCTGTAGGGCTAGAAGGCCATAGGGCTATTGAGCTATAGGCCTATAGAGCTATGGGGCTATAGAGTTGTAGGGCTATGGGGTTATTGGGCTATAGGGCTTAAGGCTATAGGGCACCCCCGAGCACGCCGGGGCACCTGGGCACCCCTTGGCACCCCCTGGGCACCCCCGGGCACCTGGGCACCCGGGCGTGCAGCGAAAATCGGCGACAAACCTAACCTAACCATATGAATCCACTAGGACCCCTACAGAGGCAAGCTCTGATTGGGGAACATGTGCTGTAGAGTGTGTCCGTGTAGACTGTGGATTGTACCGGAGTGGCTGCATGTATACACACAGACACGAAGTAACAATAGGCATAAAGGGGGACCCGTGCTAGAAGAGAGCGCGTTATCTTTCCATTTACGGAGGCGTGGGCGCGTCCGTCACTGGCGCGACTGATAGCTCAAGGGCCCTCGCGAGCCGATGTGGCGGCGCACAAGGGAGTGCAGAGAGAGACGCAGGAAGAGGAAAGGCTGACAGGGGTCTGACAACCACAGTTCCTACCTTTCTTGCAGCCGAAAAGCCGCCTCGCCCCAGAATGTGAAAATTGTCGCACAATATATACCGTAGCCATGCCACGTACTACCAGTGACTCAGTGACGCGCAGCTGGTGCAGCCCCACGAACACGTGGGATTCGCGAGCATCTCCAGGAGAGCTCCTTGATGGGATTACCCGAGCCAGGGTCCATGAGGAGGTCTCCCGACTTCGCCGCGTCCGTAGCCTGCCCCGTCTGCCCTTTGCCTCGGCCGCCGTCAGCGAGATGGCCAACGTGCGTGGAGCTAGAGGAGCCCCTTTCCGCCGCCGGCGCTGCTGCCCCGGCGGGCGCGGCGGCCCGCGCGGCGCTGAGCGCCGGCACCCCGAGGCGCACCGATGGCGCCATCGCGCGCGCCAGCGGCGGCATCCGCCGCCGCCCGACCGCCGCCTGCTGGACAGGCCCAGGTTAGCGCCGAGGAGCGAGGCGATGGAGATGGCGGGCGAGGGCGGGTGCCCGGCATGAAGGCCGCTGCGCGGCCCAAGACCTTTCGGGGTCGCAGGCGCCGCGAGATAGCGCCGCGGACAAGCGACTTTGCCACGCCTGCTCGGCGAACATATTTTGCGCCACCTTGACAACCAAACGCCGCGTCGAAAGCAAGCAGCATCACCCTCCAATTAATGGAACGAAAAAAACGCGCCTGACGTTGCGGTGCTTCTCGCGCGCGGCTTAGCTAGCAGAGCAAGGGCAACCGATGCCGGCGCCAAAACACACGCACTTCGTCTGCGTCTGCGCAGCTGTCGCGCGGCGACGCGGGCGGGCCCCGCGCGGCAAATCAGAACCGAAAAACGAAATGACGCCACGCGCGATGTCGAGTTGATCCCCCGACGTCGGGGCGCGATGTTTGTTGTTCGCGAACAAAGCGAACGCGGCCTCGACGCCGCGAACATAGCGTTTCGCGCGCGCCGCGCCGGGCAAGTCGGCCGCGACCTTCCACGGGCGGAAACGGTCCGAGCATTGAGGGCCGAGGAGCGGATAAACCATGCAAGCGCTGCCACAAGCGACAACCAAAGAAAACTCAGCCCAAGCCCGCTCGATCGGCATCGGCACGAAACGAAGCGCAGCGGGCTGGAGCAAATTGGCGAAAGACGCGGGCGCACACGGGGGAGGCCTGGGCCTGGGCGACCTGCGCCCTGAGCGCCAAGGGAACTCGTGGACCCGACGGCGCGGCGTGAAGCTCATCAACGGGGGAAAATGCACTCGCCGAAACGGCGGGGGCATCGCCGCAGCCATTCCGAGGTCGCGAGAACCCCCGTCGCGACGCGTCTTCCGCCGCAGCGCGCGCGGCTCGCGCGCGGGCTCGCGCGCGCGTTCGCACAAGCGCAAAAACTCGCTCGCGCGCGCGTGAAATGAACGCCGTGCGCAGTTTTGCGGGCAATCCGTTGTTTGTCCGCCGTGTTTTTTTTTCCGACGGCCCGACGCGCGGCGCCATTTGTCCCCAACTTGTCATCACTTTGTCATCACTCTGTCCGCAACAAAGACGCGCGACAACCCTATTTGTCATCGCTTTGTCACCACTTTGTCATCACTTTGCCATCGCTTTGTCGCAGGGTTTGTCTCCGTTCCGCCCCCAAACTGCGAAAGCCCAAATGTTTCCTTCCGCGCATCGATCTGCGGCCCGTTCAGGCACTGCCGCGCCAGCAACCGCGGGGCCAACGCTAAAAAACGCAACGCGCGATCTGCGCGTTTGCTGAAACTGGCCTGATGTCGCGTGATGCGGTTTGCCGCCGCGCCTCCAGCGAGCTGGAAAGCTCGGGAAATAATTCGCGCCGTTCACGCCAATGCAACCCCGCTGGGGTCGTCTGGGACCTCTCCCCCAGCCCGAGACCGCGCGCGCCCCCCCAGCGAGCCCCGGCGGCGCAAGCTTCAAGCCCACCCCGCGACCCCCTCGCGGGACGCCTGATTCAAATGTGACGCGGTCGGGGGCGCCCTTACGACCTCAAACCACCGCAGGCTTCTCGCAACCTTTCTCGTTCGGTTTCCCGCTGCGCGCGCTCGCCCCCCGCCCGCTATATCCCCCCAATTATTCTTCCGTCCCGCCCCTGCCCCCGCCCCCGCCCACCCCCGCGGGCCTGGCGGACGGGGCGGGCCGCGCCCCTTGCATCGCATTGCATTTTGCACCCGCGCCGTTGCATTGCATCGGCAGGCGTTGCGTTGAACTGGGCGCGGTGCCGCCTCGTGTTCGGCGCGTCTCCGCCCGATGCGTCGCGCGCCATGCCCCTGTTCCCGTTCCAGCGCCTGCTTTGCATCTCGTTTCGCCCGCGCCGCCGACGCGGGCCCCGCCGGCGCCCCGACCACTGCGCCCCGAATGTTTCTTTTCGCGCAGATGTTCCGCCTCCTGTCTCGGCCTTGCCTCGGGGCGACGCCGCTGGCCACTCGGGGGCTCGCGCGACCCTGGCGACGACGGCAATGGAATTTCAGGGAGCTCGAAGCCCGCCGACGCACGGGGCCGCGCGCGGCGCGAAGCCAGGGCCGACGACGCGGGAAATATATACTTTCACGGCGGGTCTTGGGGACAACAACGGCCCTCAGAGTGCCCGGGGCCGCCCCCGCTGCGAAGGCGGATCGGCGCAGGCGCCGCGGGCGCCGTTTGG